CATTTTTGACCTAGGGCTGAACCTGCAACAGTTTGGTAAATTATTCTTCAGGTAATTTAAATTCCATGTATTCAAGAGTGCTCAAATTCAGATGTGTATTCTGCTCAAATTACTTCCATTGAACATTCTGCATAATAACTTGCAAGCTTGTGACTATAAAGAATACATTTTTTTAGCAGTTTTAAATTATGGCCTGTTTTTTACGCCTTTGCAATCCTGTTTGCAAAATCTGGCCTGAATTCATCCTTGGGCTACAAAAACTTTGCACAAACATCCATAAAGGTTTGCTAAGTCCCTGTAGTTGGGTAAAAGGGTGACCGTTACTCACAGCTGTCTACTTCTCAGTCCTACCACATTACAGGTCTGTAACGAATCTAATAATTGCCTATTTGTATTATTTGATGTAATGGCTCTGAAAATCAGGAAAGGATTGAAGGGAACATTGCTTACAGATTCCAAGATATCACTTTCTTCAATGGGTCTATGGAACTAATGGCCGTCCCTAAAAAAGTAAAAAGAAGCTTCATCCTAACTTCCTTAACATGACAATTAATTTTGAACACGCTAAAAGTACACTTTCATAACCTTTTCAAATTGCTAAAGCAGGTTACTCATCACCAGACTTACCTTACAAAGCTATTGCCAATGAATCGCAGGTTATTCGTCACAAGAGGGGGGATACGAAATGGACCAAAGGCATTGAAACCTCAACCTCTGATAAGTACTTTCAATAGCTCATTGCACCCAAACTTGAATGCCCACTGCCATAAAAAAAAAAAGAACGACAATCCCAGTAAAACCCCACGAAAGTAGGGTTTGGAGAAGGTGATATGTATCCAAAACTCACCCCTACTTGGAAGTATGCCTATAAACTCTCAAACACATTATGTAATTTAGTAGGGTTTGTGGCAGAGTGAAATTACCACACTTGGGTGTCGGACTCTGGGTTGGCCCAACAACTTATGACTTCTTTTTTAAAAATTTCAGGTTACTTCGGGTTCATACTACTTCATGTTCGGGTCAATGCGGGTTCAAGTAGAGAACTATATGTTCATCACCATTATCATTCGGTTTGGGTCGACCCAACGGGTTATGACTTTGATTTTAAACAAATTTATATTCATTTTAACACTTGCATTTTTCTTTAAGTAAAATTAAAATATCAAAGAAAAAATGTACTATATCTATTATATTATTTTATTTTAAATTATGAAATGATTTTACCTCTTAGATCTACATAATTTGAAGCTCTAAACAATTGAAATACAATCTAAGACGAATATTTAGGCTCGAGCTTCTCGATGCTGCTATATAATCACTACCTTCATCGCTCACATCCGCCATGTAAAACTTTGAACAAAACAAAGCAATCACCCAAGAACAAAAACTATATATATATATATATATATATATATATATAAACACACACACACACACACACAAATATATATATATATATATATATATATAACGTATTTGTAGACTAAAACATTTAATTGTGGAAAAGTCTCACCTTTTTGATGATCTTAGCCAAAAGGTCAAAAAACGTAGTAGAAAATTTATTTTTTAGTAGATGAGTTCCACCACGTTAAAATTTAAACACAACACAATAACGAAAAATTGGCTGCCGAGTCTAAACACAACACAATATTCACCTTGGTAAACACCATACAATATTCACCTTGGTAAGAGATTTTCTTATTTATTAACCTCTTTCATGTCCTATTTGATGACAGGGTTCATGCCGAGTCTTCTTTATTGGCTGGAGCTTGGCGGTACTTTCAACAAAATGGAAATTTCACCATGTACCGGTATTGGTTTTCCTCTTTTTATCGGATATCTCCCAAAAAAGAATTGTCTTAATATGAACTGCTGCACTCTAATCAAAACCACACTATGACAAATAGGTGCTTAAGGCCATGTGACATTCAGATTCCACTAAACCGGCTATATTTACCCTGTCAAACGCCACACACAATGGTTGGTCTTCATTCTTAAAGCCTGTTAATGTCATATTCATTCTTTTTGTACTTATTCACAATTTTTAAACATGGGAATAGCTTAATGCACCCCTGCAATTGGTTGTTGGGTTAGGTTCTGGGTAGGGATTTTGTTTCTTACTTTGGGGATTGGACCTGATTTTTGGTTTGGTTTTGGGTTAGGTTCTAGGTTGACTTTTAACTTTAGTGTTTGACAATCAAATTTGCGTTAGGTTTGCGGGTACAATCCGTTGG